CATCTGCTCACTTCTCAGTAATAAAACATGTGTCATTTGTCAACTTTGTTATTTCCATATAAATACTATAACAAACAACAACTGTTTACATGTATTTAGATATAACTTTGACTATTAAGTTTATTTATATGAATATCTTAAAGATACCTCATAGCGAAGTTTCCGCAGACTGTTAAGTTGTCGGCTTAACACAATTTAGTTCTATTGTCTGGGAGGTTTATAACAATTTACTAATGAAGGTTAAAGTAACTTATCATCACCAAATATCGTCAAATAATATAGTAGTTTGTGAGAATAAAGGCGGCGACACACTGGGCGGATAACACAGCGCGAGGCGTGCGGCACGCGCGTTTGTGCGGACTCTCATTAGCGCGGTAACGAGATGCGTGCTTGCCACAAACGCAAGGAGTCAGCGATAAATTTAAAATTAATATAATAATAAATATTATGAAAATAATAAAACATGCTAATCTTAGTCATACGTAGATGGATTGCGAATAATTTACAGCAAAATTATAAATTTGAACTTAAATGACTGAAAATAAATTTTAATTTAAACTATAACATATGTGGCGGAATTGTATATACTTAAATATGCTATTATTATAATCCCTTACAACTGATATAAATCCGCTCTCGCCAACTCCTTACGCCACGCTCCAGTCTATAAGCTTTTAATCAGTTGGCCCACAGCCAAGCGATCGGGCGTCAACCTCGCGACACGCGGGCGACACAGTTCGCACCAGCATTCGTCAACGTTTCCATACGGTGATGTGTGCCGCTGCGTGCACTGGTGTTCCACCTCGCAGCACTTGAATGAAAGCTACATGGATGCACTGCAAATGCAGCTGTGATGCAGGATGAATCACTACTACGGTGAAATATCAGCAGAAATCTATATACAAAAAAAATCAAACTTTTATTGGAGATAAAGTGACAAAAGATAAACATACCCTCGTACAGCTTTTCTATTAACCTTTTGCTTATGGTTTTACTAAAAATATAATAGTTTAACGACTTTAGCACCAGCCAAGTGCGTAAAGTAAGACGCTATTATTAAAATACTTATTAATATGTGTTTAATTGATGCGCAATTGTCTCGCATGAGACCACCGCTGCGTGACAGTGACCTCTCTACAATCAATTGCTTTCTTTGCTCACACTTATAATTGTCACTTATAAAGCTACATAACTGAGATGTTTATTAATTTGGAATTCAGAGCTTATTAATATCCATGTCCTATCGGGTACAAGATCACCAGTTCTTGACATGAACCGACATTGTCAGTCGAAGTATGAGTGATGACGGATGAATTCCTTGGCAGCGGTCCCGTATCGAAGGCTAAAATAGCATTGATTTGCGGCAACGAGCACGCGCGCTAACAAACAAGGCAAAACGACAAAACGTCGCTCACGTCCGGAGTATACTGTACTGAATTAGTGTTACTGCTTCCACTGAACCAGAACAATCGCGACCAAGTATGACAAGATGAGGTGTGGCCACACTGCAAGCGAGTTAATCTTTACTTCATTTCACACTTGTATATTTTTATCTAGGGTTTGTGCAGTATTTATACGCCTGCTCAAGAAATCTGGTCGAAACCTGTGACACGACTTTCTTTGTATTGACTTATCCGCTTCGTAATCTTTTAAATATTGCGCATAGGCCGTGCAATATTCCTCGAAACTAGAAACACATTGCTTTTATTGATACAAGAAGCTTTGCAAGTTATCTATTGCGGTATTGTCTCTATCCTGTTACAACACATTTTCCCGCCCTCATTTACGGTATAAACTTTATTTATAATCTACTATTTATACAGAAACCTTTTAAAGTTAATCTTGTGCATGTTATTTTTATATCCCAGATAATTATATTATAATTGAAACGTTTCTAAATACAACGTAAATAGTTTTAGTTTATTCACTGTTTGTTATACAGAGGGGGAGGAGTTTAAACTGATTAACGTATGTTATAAAGTATAACGGTTATGCGCTGTGTACTTTGGCCCACGTCTTCAACAAATAATAGAGATAAAAGCATTTTATTATGTCTTTTATGTTAACATAAATTAAACCGCTACAAAGTTATTGTATTGCGCCGTCTTAATTTTATATTGAATACGCTTAACAACTTACAAAAATATTTAATAACTTATAAATTATAATAACTTTTCATAGTTTACAAACTTGATAATATTTAACGCGTCAAAACAAGCACTTTTCGTTGAATCATTCAGCAATGCGTTTAATTGTGAATTTTTCACATTAACGCGTTGTTGATTGTGCGAACGTTGATGCCGATTATCGGCTCTCGATCAATTGATACCGCGGTCGCTCGCTTCGATCTCACAGGTGTGTGCGCGCCTTTATATTCCCGTACTGTTGTGTGTTTTACACGGGGAGTGCAATTTGCAATGTTCAACATTAGAGCACAGGCACATGTTACGAGTACAAATGTATGTTTTACTGAAACTAGGACTTTTACAACACACGCGTCTCATACTCGTATAATACAGTGAGCAATGTAAAGATTCAAACTTGCTTTACTTTTTCCTACAAGCATTAAAACTATGCGAAAATGCATCTGCTTTTTAATAACTTGAAGTTTCTTAGAATATCTATACAATTTATTATATAAATAAACGTATAAACAGTAGTTGTATCGTACAATTAAAATTCGCTAAAGAACCTTTATTAATTAACAAACTTTTGTTTTCAATACTTAACTCGATCCTTTCTCCGGTCTCGCTCAGCGCTCTTCAAGACACTGGGACACTTCCGAAACTTTTAAACTTTCAAAAAAGACACAAAGGTAGTCGCGTAGTGTTTTGAGTGCGACAAAAAGCGGGGCCGCGTCTTAGTTAAAATATTCTGTAAGAAGTAAAGACGGCATTGTGTACCTCGTCTCGACATCCGCGGCTTGTTATATCACACACTGACTCGGCACTCTTTTAATTGCCCACTTCGTTTTATGTATATTCTACGACACTTATAATCTTTTAATGCATTTAATAACGTCATATTATACTAGAATTAAAATGGAATTCACATTTAGTGCATCTTGTTTTTCCACTTAGTTCTGACTAAATAACTTTTGCTCCTCAAGCGTTAGAACAGCATTTAAACTAATCTTGCCGTAATACAAACTCGTAGACGGTTAAGTAGGGCGTGAGTAGAACAGTTCATGTGTCCTATACCTGCAGACATCGTGGACAAAGTCCATCAGAACATCATTCGTGTAACGAGACAATTGCTCGCTTCCTCGTGTCCTTTTTTCTTCTCGCTAATATAATTGATAGTTGTCTAGGAAATATGTTACTTACAACTTGCTATTTAACACAACATTTCTACATTTTATGAGGACATTACCGTTAGCAAATGTTTCCACAAATACTCTTAAGATTAGCTGGTTAATGCTAGAGATCTGTGTAAAGCATACATTTAGTGGTTTTAACATTGGCAAGATTTATTGTTGTCGCGCTGTAAAGTTGTCTGTAACCACAGAGAGGGTTCTTCCGGCTCGTGTCGACGGCTTGTGTCGATGTGTCGGACGCTACGCCGCGTGTCGATAGCCCGTGTCGATGGCTCGTGTCGTTAAGAGCGCATTAGACGGCGCTTGGAGGCGACGCCTCGCGGCGCCCTCTCCCTCACATATCATGCTACGCAGATAGGACATGGTTTAGTTATTTGTAAAAAATTGTATCATTTTTTTTAAATAGCAAGTCTTATGAATTGTATTTATATAGGTTAAGTCCATCACAGCGTTGTTAGTCATAGATAATGAAAACAAGAACATGAGGTCAGAGCAAGAAGAGTGTTAATATTGCTGCAATTACCGAAATTATAATATTTATATTTTTATTAAGTAAGTGCTCATCGCACTTACAAGTTGCGTTGCATTAGGTACAAAGTGATGGTACCGCGTCGGTACGGAAGCTAATCATTGGTGCACATCCACCGGGCGCTTGCTTGACCCAAAATAAATGGTAGTATTTAACTTAAACTAAAGTAATTCCATCCAACGTTCGACGAACCTCTGCACGGAGACCGAACGCGTTTTATTCTCCCCTTTTTATGGAGTACAACTACGAATTATTTGTTCAATCTATTTCGAGTAATCTGCTTTATTGCCATCGTTAATTTTATTAGTTTCCTATTCTATCGTGACGATAAAGTTCTACAATTAGGAGTCACAGGTCTAATAAAATAAAGCTCGCTTCTTTAAAACAAAAAGTTTACATAACTTTATAAATACAAGTGCTAGAAAGATCGTTAGAACTACACGATACTACACAATAAAAGTGAAATGCATCAGCGAAGCCTCTCACCTAATAACACTTGAAAAGCGATTACTGATCGAATATAGCTTCCGTAAATCGAACGCGGGTTCGACTGGCTCCCCGGCTTCTTGTACCCGCCGCACAATAGACAGCCTTATCACAATGTAGTACGGTGTATATTGCGGTGTTATCTGTTGTCGATGTCAGTTCACTATCAGTATGATAAGTTATCAGAACAAAAGATTGTGTGAATGTGACGGAAGGATTGCCGGCCGCCGCCACGGATTTTATATTTGGCTCGTGATTTTTACAATGTAATCGCACCTTTTTGTACCGGTTCAGAATTATATGCCATAAATGTATAGTAACACAGTTTGAAGAGTCCATTTTTGACTTGGCTTAGGGAGTTGTCATCACGTAAACTATGTATGTATATGCATCCCATTTAGTATGTTTTGTAAACATACTGTATAGATCCTAGATTGTAACGAATTCTGCTTGGTTGATTTAACCTTAACATTTTTAGACAAATACCACTTACGCCAGAAAAACTATGGGGTAGGCAGACCTTGTGAATTTTTAATGGACTGAATTTAGGGACACCTAACTTGTCACTTTTACATCTATTCATTTAAATCGGTTAAGGGTACTTTTTGTATGTCTCTTGATTAAATCGTTAGTTGCAATTGTTTTTAATGTTACGATGTCTATTTCCAGATGCGGTTAGCTTAGTGCGCGCAATGTTTGCGGGCGTGCGGTGCGCGTGGAGCGCGCTGGCGGCGCTGGCGGCGTTTAGCTGGCTGGTGGGCTGTAGCGCGTTGCAGCAGCCGCGCTGCGAAGAGATCACCATCCCGATGTGCCGTGGCATCGGCTACAACCTCACCTCCTTCCCCAACGCCCTCGACCACGACACGCAGGAGGAGGCTGGCCTCGAGGTCGGTGCAATCCTTCAACTACAGATATTAATAAAGACCATAAAATGTCATGAACAAACGTTCAAATTGACGATACTGAGAGAAATACCTTTGATGCTGACCTTATCCCCAATAGTCAAATAACATGTCCTTCACCAGGCTCGTTAAAAGTTCCATATAAATATGTATGTTACCGGAACATTTTTTTTGTCAAAGTTTGAAATATGAGACAACTCTGTACCAGGGAGTTATGCAGTAAAGAATGTTTCCGAATGTTATAAACTAAATGAAACATTATCAAATGTTATCAGTTTATATTTGCGTGGAAACTATCTTATCTGTCTGTTATTATCCAACTTGGAGATTTGCCCCTGAACTCAATCCGCGTACAGACATGACACTATGGAGAAAAAATGTACGACATAATAAACATTCATACAATTTTTTAGGTTAGACAGTCCGATAAGAAAGTGTAAATAGAGGTTTGTGTTGATGGAATGTAAAAATGGTAATAGCGTATGTGTGCGTGTTGCAGGTGCACCAGTACTGGCCTCTGGTGGAGATCAAGTGCTCGCCGGACCTCAAGTTCTTTCTGTGCTCGGTGTACACGCCCATCTGCATCGAGGACTATGCCAAGCCGCTGCCGGCGTGCCGCAGCGTGTGCGAGCGCGCCCGCGCCGGCTGCGCCCCGCTCATGCAGAAGTACGGCTTCCAGTGGCCCGAGCGCATGGCCTGCGAGAAGCTGCCCAAGATGGGCGAGCCCGACCAGCTGTGCATGGACGAGAACGAGCGCGCGCAGGAACCGGAGCCGCCGCGCCCGCCGCCGCGCCGCCCCCACAAGCCCTGCAAGGATCCAAAAAACTGCGAAAGCGCTGCCGGCGGCGAGGGCGGCGGCGAGGAGTGCGCGTGCGCGTGCAGGGCGCCGCTCGTGAGCGTGCGCGCGCACAACGCCAGCGTGCCCGGCCTCGCCAACTGCGCCGCGCCCTGTCGCGGCCCCTTCTTCTCGCGCGAGGAGAAGGAGTTCGCGGCCGTATGGATCGCGCTCTGGAGCGGCCTCTGCGCCATCTCCACCCTCATGACGCTCACCACCTTCCTCATCGACTCGCAGCGCTTTAAGTACCCCGAACGGCCCATCGTCTACCTCTCTGCCTGCTACTTCATGGTGGCGCTGGGCTACCTGGCGCGCCTCGTGCTCGGACACGACGAGATCGCGTGCGACGGCGCCGTCATCAAGACCTCCGCCAACGGGCCCAGCGCGTGCACCCTCGTGTTCATCCTGGTGTACTTTTTTGGCATGGCTTCCTCGATCTGGTGGGTGGTGCTGTCGTTCGCGTGGTTCCTGGCGGCCGGACTGAAGTGGGGCAACGAGGCGATCGCCGGACACGCGCAGTACTACCACCTGGCGGCGTGGCTCGTGCCCGCCGCCAAGACGGTGGCCGTACTGCTGGCGGGCGCGGTCGACGGCGACCCGGTGGCCGGCATCTGCTACGTGGGCAATTCCTCGCCGGAGAACCTGAAGAAGTACGTGCTGGCGCCGCTGATCGTGTACTTCGCGCTCGGGGCGACCTTCCTGCTGGCCGGCTTCGTGTCGCTGTTCCGCATCCGGTCGGTGATCAAACGACAGGGCGGTATCGGCGCCGGCTCCAAAGCCGACAAACTGGAGAAGCTGATGATCCGCATCGGCGTGTTCAGCGTGCTGTACGCGGTGCCGGCGGGCGTCGTCATCGGCTGCCTGGCGTACGAGGCGGGCGGGCGCGCGGGCTGGCTGCGCCGCGTCGCGTGCGGCCCCGCCTGCGGCCCGCGCCCTCTCTACTCCGCGCTCATGCTCAAGTACTTCATGGCGCTCGCCGTCGGCATCACCTCGGGCGTCTGGATCTGGTCCGGCAAGACGCTGGAGTCCTGGCGGCGCGTGTGGCGCGGCGGCCGCGCCCCTCACCGCGCGCTGCCCAAGGGCGGCGTGTGACGCGAGCCCCCCGCGGCGCACCCCCCGCCGCCCGCCGCGCACCCCCCGCTCGGCCCGCCGCACCCGCCGCCCGCGCCCCCCGCGCCGCCGCCCGCGCCCGTCGCGCCCTCGCAGCGGTCCGGGCAGCCGCTGTCCGACTACGGCCCCGTCTAGTGACTCGGCCACATCACGATGGTGTTTTACCGCATACCTAAAGTTTTCTGAAATTCATAAAACGTAGACTGTTTGCTTTGAGGGGCGTCGCAGATAGAATTTCAAATATATACTTTATCATTGACTAGTTGCCAGTTAAGGTGGGGGGTGAGGCAGCTCGGTCGGATGTCGGGGTGGCGTTGTGATGAACGCGACGTCAGTGTCGCCATCTTGTGAACAAAAGAAACCGAACTCTGTAGTGCCATTGAACATTAACGTGAAACAGACTGACTCGACGTTTGATACTTTGTGATAAGCGACCCGAACAATTTCGGAAGTGCAGTGTAGAGGTGTAAAAGTGCAGCTGCGCAGTGTCACAGTGACGCAGTGCGCAGTGTCACAGTGACGCAGTGCGCCGTGTCACAGTGACGCAGTGCGCGGCGGCCGCGGCGTCTAGTCGTGCAACCGCCGCGGCCGTATCATATACGTAACTAGTTGTAAGTGTGGAGGTTCGCCCGCATCGCTTCTCGGTAGCTCTAAATTAATCTTACTAATTCCCTTTGTATTTCGCTATCGAACCGCGAGATGTCGCTCGCGGCGGAACATTGTATTGTAGAGTTAGCTCACACGTCTCGGAGGAAATGTACTCCTCGTTACATTTTATAACATCGTTTCACAAAACTGCTCCCGAATGGCGAACGCGCTGACAGAACTTATTTTTAATTAAAATAAAGATCTATTTAATTTAGAGATAATTTATATTGGCTGTCAGCTCTGTCGCCACTCGTCGGGCATGTAACCGTCTTCGATTCGAAGCCTCGACTGATTTACAAATGTATATTCCAAATGTAAATATGTTTACAGACAATATTACACTAAATCATTCCCCCGACAAAATCTCTTGTTGAATTATTGAATGTCTATGTCAAATATATATAGCTGTAGGGTTTAGGAATGGAACCACGCGAAATATGCATAGAATATGTCCACTTAGCCCTAAGATACCTCTGTATTCATACACACGTCTGTTTTCATTCTTCACAAACATGTTTGTGACGGTTGAATGGACAAACTGTCACAAACATGTTTGTGACGGTTGAATGGACAAACTGAATCTTGCCAAAATTTGTAAGAAATAATTAGACCACATGTATCAGTAAGATGTTTTATTCCGACGTCTGGTGGCGCCATCTTCAATCAATTTGAATGTCTCTTGTATAGATTTTTATATGTAGTTTTTCGTCTGCCATCAAATTCTTTGAAGATAGCGCGCATCAGATCGATTCTTCTATAATGCTGATAGTCACTGCCATTTTTGAGAAATTTTCATAGATAATAAAATAAATTACTGATGTGTGTTGAGACGTAGTGCTTCTTTCATCTCTTATTAGTCCTTTTTAATTTGTATAGACATTTTTTGTAATGATCGTTCACATATGGCTAATTCTCGGCGAGTTGATGTGTAATGTGGGAAATGTAATCAGAGCCATCTAGTGAGTAACTCGACTAATGTTAATAAATTGTTAATAGATGGCGCTGCGCTAAATTTGTATACGGCTAACAAACTGTTGACGAGTAGTTGAAACTACGTAATGTATTCTATAGATAGGTATGAAGATTTCATACATTTATTATTTGACATAAAATGGCAGCTCAAACTCTTTGCAAATATGTAAATGCGTTTTAATTTAATTATCTGTATAATATGTTAGTGGCTTATGAAGTACAACGTACGATCACACGACTATATATTTTTGTTTTGTTGTACGAAAAGTTTGATGTAAAATTATACAAAAAGACTCCGCTGCCGAAATGCAGATATCATCATGTAATTTATTTTATAACTTAAATGTAGATAATGAATAAATCGACTTTTTTATGTACAAATAATCTGCTGTCTTATTTGATTACAAATTACCATTCCCACGAACGCAGAATTTAAATGGTGATATTTTATATTTATTTATTTACTTATATTAAGGTGGAAAACGTACAAACGGTCACCTAAATTCGAAACCGCCGCACGCGCGGACCGCTGCCTGCTGTTGAATATTCCCCTAAATATGTGTAATATAGGAATAAAAAAATAACATCCAAAGTCTATATGTCATATAATTAAGTACTTCATACATATATCACTTATTAAATGACGGGTATAAAATCATTATTGCTATTTTGAACATGATACAAATGATGAAATGAGAGAAATACAAAATAACACAATTAACAAGAATAAAGATCTTAATACATAATTAGTACATCAAAGCAAAATATCTTGCAGATAATATCACAACTCAGATACAGATTATAAATCTACCACAAACGGTAAATAAAATTTCCTTAATAGCATGAAATGATGTTACTTGAAATGAATTTTTGAAAGACGTTACGTAAAATTTAAAATAATTCAATAAACTTATTATTAAAAATATTTATTAATCTTAAATTATCCGAACATCATCGGGGACAAATTTAAACTTATCCTATCACATATTTACGTATTTCGTTAAATTTTCGACAAATTTATTGCGTTGCATATTTTTACTTTTGAAAAATCTAAATTTTGTCATAAAAATGTTTTGCATTAAGTAGAGGTTTCTAATGTAAGCTACACATTAAAAAAAATATCAAATATTCTATTTATAAATTGTTATGTTTGATAAAATTAAAATGATGACACGTGATCAAAGGCCTTCTTGTTACTTGAAGACAGAATGAAAAATAAATTGTCAAAATTCAGTTAATTAGTAGATTTATAACATTCACACCGACTAATGCACATTTTCTAAACTAAACATGGCACGGAACAATTCGACAACTGTACGCAGCGTACAGCTTACCACTTCATATGTAAACCACAGTACATGTTTATTGAACTAGCTCACTCACACAAATATATAGAAATGATGTGAATTCATATCTCACTAACCACACGAGCGTCATGTTCTTACAAATTGAAAGTTTACATACATCATTTAGGTCTTATTACTTAATAATGATGGTCAAAACGCCAAATAAACAAATTGTATATAACCGCAATTATAACTAAAAATAATAACATCAAAAATATTTGTACGTCTGTGATTCACAATATTTACAATCTAAGCGAGATTATATGAAATTATTTACATTCTAAATAATACATTATTGCTTCGATTCATAATGCAGTTGTAAGTTGTTGTGAGTCGTTACAACTGTCGTTCTGACAGATAGATGGCGCTGTTTGTAGTTATTGATTTCGTCACATGGCGCCACTGTTACATGAAATTGTAAAAAAGTGATAGAAACATAATGAGTTTAAGAGAAATAGAATACAAGAATAATACTTATAATGACCTATTAAATATCATCCAGAAGACGTAATATGTGAAAAACATGGACGGATAGGAAAAATGTAATGTGAAAAGTAAACCCAAAGATTTCGACATCGCGCTACTGATCAATAAGCAGGTTCTTTAAATTAAAGTAAATTACACACCGAGTGTATCAAATACGTAGTACAGTTTTGTAAGACAACTTACTGTATACTTTCATTACATCTTTTTGTATTATTATACTACGTGGGCGACGTGTCGACCTCAACTGGTGGCGAGTCCGCTGTAGCCGGGCGCGTGGAGCAGCGCGGGGGCGCAGTCCGGCCAGTGCTCCAGCACGCCGTGCGCCTCGCCCACCAGCTGGCTGTACACCACCTCGCCCCGCTCCTCCCCCGCCCCGCTGCAGCTCGCCTGCGTCACCGGACACCAACCTGCCGACTCCCGCCTCGGCTGCATCTGCTCATCTACTTCGTAATTCTGTGCGTCCGACTGTTGGTACTGCACGCACTGGAAGGGATAAGTCCTTGGAAGTTAATCAAATGCGAGGTGAAACAACTTTTATCTTATCCGAAATAGAGAAATTGAGTACGTAGTTTATTTAAATGTTATAATACATTCGTTTGAATCTATTAAAACTTAAAAAAACAAGCTAAAGTTAAATACAGAAGAGACAGAAGACGGCGTACCTGCGGCCGGTACTTGCAGCGCTTGAAGCGGCCGTACAGCGAGGAGTACGGCAGGTTGTAGTGGATCGCCGCCTGGTTTATGGACATCCGACCCACTCTGAAATTTACACAAACGATTCTTTTTAACATAGAAAGAATCTTTGCGCTAAACTGACGGACAAAATAACGATTTGGAATTAAAATAAAGGGCGGCACCCGACGGCCTCCAGCGCCTCGGCCATGGCGCGCTCGGACCAGGGCGTGGGGTTGGCGCGCGACAGCTCGATGCCCTCCCGCTTGCAGCGGCCGTACAGCGTGCCGGACGGGATGCCGAACTGCGCCGCGGCGCGCTGCACAGACGCGGCGCCGCACCGGATGGCGGCCAGCGCGCGCTGCAAGTCGCCGCGTCGCCACCGCGTCGGCGCCGCGTTGAACGGCGCCGCCAGCCGGATGCCCTCGCGCCGCGCGATCTTGTACAGCGTGCTGCTCGGGATACCTGCACACACACAGACACACACACACACATCGCACGTGATACACCGCAATGTCCGAGCCGCCGGCCGCGGTGCGGGGGGGGGGACGCGTACCATACGCCTTGCTGGCCTTGTTGGCGGAGAGCGTGCCGGCGCGCAGGGCGGCGAGCGCGGCCAGCAGCTCCGCCTCGCCCCAGCTGCGCGCGGCCGCCTCGCGCTTCGGCGTGTCGATGCCGAGCCGCCGCGCGCGCTGCCACAGCGTCGTCGACGGGATGCCGTAAGTCGCCGACGCCTGCCGACCCGCAGTCGCGTCATTATTTTTATAGAAAATACAAGTCGACTGTACCCGATGCGACTATAAAGCAACCTAACGAGTGCGGCGGTACATTCGATGCGTTACCTTGGTGAGGGTCATGCGGCGGTCGCGCAGGGCCTGCAGCGCGCGCTGCATGTCGCGCGGGCCCCAGGCGCGCGGGCCGGGCGGGCTGTCCCCGCCGCACGAGCTCGTCTCGTCGCTCGGCACCTGCTGCTCTGCGAGTGAACGCCACAAATGACGGTGGTTGCGTACCGGCTCCTGACACATTCACTATGAAGGCAGTTTTGTACTCACCACCCTCCGAGAGCGGTTCGTCCTTGACGGGCAGCAGAGGCATGAGGTCGGGCTCCGCGGAGTCCGCGATCAACCTCAGGTGACGATCTAGAAGTGTAGTGCCCTGCGAATGTATAATTTATGATTAGCATGGATTGATTGCACACGCGTCATGACACAGTTATAGTTAGGACTCACTGTGTCGGCGCGGGCGGGCTCGAGGGTCTCGAAGCAGTGCGCGGCGTGTGGTGAGCGGGGCGAGGCGGGCGAGGCGGACGCGTCGTGCTGTGTGCGGCGCGCGCGCACCGGCGTCGCGGCGGGCGCTGCGGGTGTGAGCGGGCACAGCTCCAGACCCACACCCACCTGCACAGAACATTCTCACATCAGAGATAATGGAACAGTAAAGACTGCTTGACAAAGATTTAAAGTTGCCATGTTTGCACGTTCTGACGCAGAAGCATATTAAATGCGACGGCAAGAAAGTCCCCTAAATAATGATGTATAATCTTCAAGGTTATCATTGAATACCTGCAAGTGATGCATAACGTGCGAGGAAACATCTTGCTCGGCCGCGTCCACCTTCACGGCGGCCAGCAGCGGGGTGGACTGTAACACATTCACCCGTAATTAAACAGTGGATAATGTTTATCTTGCGAGACATCATTAGTCCCAGCTCTACCTAAACTGTACCTAATTAAAAATGTATTTATAAAAATGTTAAATAACCAAATATAATTTACGATGATTATAGATGACAGAATACTGAGACCACAACATATGATTGTGAATGTAGCGGCAGTGCCGACATTGGATACGTTTCTATTATTTATTATAATTATTAACAAATATTTGAAGAAAAGTAATAAATAAAATGAGTAACATCTCTAAATTTTGTGTCCTTCAAAAACTTTCAATTCACAGTCATTCTCCAGCACGGGATTTGAACCTGGCACTTGATTTGAAAAGTGATCGCTCCACTTAACCATACCATATGTATTCAAATCACCGTATAAGTACACTAATATCACTTCACAAGTATAATAATGTCCAAAAAGTTAATTAAATTCATATTTTGTGACACAATACAAATTGATAGTAGATACCTGATGGTAGAAGAAGTCATGTGCAGATTGTGAGCTACTGTCGTCGCACTCGGACGCCGGCTCGCGTTTAAATTCGTAACCTCCGTAGCCGGGCATTTCCTGACACAGCATTCTTAATATAACACAATAATTAAATTAAGTAAAGTACCAAAAGCACATCGCATTCACCCTAAATACAACACTATGAGTTCTTTACAAAGTTTATCTTTGAAATATAATTAATTACAAGATATTTAATTGATAGATATTTACTTGAACAATCGACTTCGCGCGAAACAACAGGGCAATGCTCCATTTTTTCCTCGAAATGTCGCAGGAAGCGAGCCGCGAGCACGGTCCGTATTATAAGTAGGTGTACATAGGCAATTAGACAAAAGGAAGCGGGCTTTATTGAATTTTTTCTCGATTGGTGCACAAACGAGGAGTGCAAACTCGATTCCATCTCTTTCGCTCGACGGCAATCGGACGCGGGCCTTTTATAATTTTGTTTGTTTTCCCGCCCGTCGAAATTATATCGCAGTGTTATATTATTTTAAACTTTTTAAACCCTAAGTTGCCGCGAATTCAAAAGTTTAACCGTTGCCGAGATAAGTTTAGGCGAGACGAAATGCCGTGTGGGCGTCACACTCTAGTATAATACGATTCGGCAACACCTGCGAAGGTGGAGGCGAGCGGTACATTTTGAGATCCGCGGTCAACCCTCTCGCCGTCGTCGGCTACTGAAGCACACGTCGCGGGGGCACGTCTTACGGACGAAGACGATGCAACCGTCACGAAGGAGAGGAACGCGTCACTCGACTCACCTAGTGTAGTCGGCGGGCGGAAGCCGGCGCGGGCGGGCGCGCTACGGCCGCGCTCGCTGCTCCTGGCACGCTGCACGGTGACCTTCGCGAGGCGGGATGTCGCAAATGAAAGTGAATCGGCACGCGGCGGCGGCTCTGCGTCGCCGCGTGGCGCATGTTTAGGAGGTGCAGGGCGGGCGCGTGCTCCTTCTTTTTTCCGCGCCAAAGAAATAAAAACAAACGCCTTTTTGCCGGGAACCGGCCGAGGACGCCGTCTGCCCTCCGCCCGTCGCGCCGCGCACCGCGCCCCCGCTCGCTTTATTATTAAACTAACTTTTGCCCGCAATTTCGTCTGCGTGATTTTTTTTAAAAGTTGTTAAGCAGTCTATGTGTTCTTCCATACAGTGTTCTACATCTACACCAAACTTAATCCCGATCCATGTAGCTAACCTGGAGATAGTTTGTGACAAATATATAATATATACATCCATCCAAACTTTCGCATTCATAATATTAAGAAAAAGAAAGATTAGAAAGGACTAGGAAACTTATTCCGACCACATTTATGTGTCAGGAAAACTATAAGTTTTTGAACAGTAGTAAAGTTCACATAAGCCATAGCGTAAAAATAACATCGTTAATTGCTTTGGGAGGGTAGTTGTATATTCGTTGAGATGCGGGTAGGGGGCTCGCGGGGCAAGCGGCAGAGCTGCCCCTCGCGGGCCTTCTCTCCGCTCCGATTGATTTTTATTACAAGAATTTCTCTCATGCTTTTTTTTGTTTCCGCACACCAGGAGGCGGCGCGGCGTCGGGCGGCCTCGCACACAGCTACAGTTGTATAATTCGTTTGTACGAACTCACTAATGCTATTGATTTTTATAACGAAGTGGCAGACGGGCGACGGCACATCCGGCCCGGGCTCGCAACATCACAATCCAAGAGTTCTCATTTGTGCATTTGTATTGTAAAATGTATTCCCGATTGGCTATTTGTAAGAACGACTGTACACAAGGTTTTATAAGTATTTAAAACACGTCGGAAAGTTGGCAACAAACATCAAATATTAATGAACACAGACACAGATTACAAACAAGCATTTAACTATTAATAATGTGTACTTGATGCGCTAACGAACATACTCGAGTCTAGCGCTTCCTACACAAGGTCATAAGCAATTAATGCGTACGTTGAACACCGACTCAGTCTTTTTATAGTTACTAAAACTGTCCCTTGGTACAGATTTAATGATTTCAATATTTATCTGAATCAACTTAAATCCAAGTCTTAGTATTAACATATTGTATGTATGTACTTAGAAGCAGTTTTCTCAACCAATATATACCTTTATATTTTTTTTTAAATCTTATAAATAAAAATAAATTTTCGTGGCCTCTGACTCAAATGTTCTGCTAAACTATGAAACATATCAAAATCCATTTTTTTTCTATAATATCATGTAGGTTATGCATTCATGGGGTTCCCTTCTTGCAGCGAACAAAAATACAACGCTAAAGAACTAACCTAAAAATATAATCAAAACAGATTAAAAGGCTAATAGTGAATCTTTTAAATTTTGAAAAATTTTATTACATCCCTATAGACATTCTTACGATGTTACAGCTAGTTAGTTATCACGCAAGAAAGTTCCACGATTTATCAACACGGAGCCATGTTCTTAGGAACCAAGAAAAAAATATTATGAAAATAACAACACATTAGTGCCATATTGCAAGTAGTAGTTAAATAATAAGACATGATATATTTTACATTTCATAGAATAAACTCAGTAATTAACAGCCTACGTTAAAAAGTACAAAGTCAATCTAGTCAAATCATGGTATTGTTTTAATGGTCGTACAGATGGCGTTGAATGTGTATTTCTATTAAGAATAGCATAACAATAAAAAACAAAATCATCGCATTTGATCGGTTAATTTGGCGAACCATTAAATTACTTGAGTTTAAATTATCTACAGGAAAAATTATTTGAACCTACAGAATGAATGTTAATTAGAATTAAAATCATCACGAGTCTTCTGTCAATAAAGTAGGTCAAGGATAAACCATTTGTTTTGATATAGACAATTTGTTTTTATAACTTTACTAATAAACGATTCCTACTTTACATTTCACTGTGGCAAATTATTTCTGATATAATTTAACGTTTTAATCAACAGAAATTACACTTTTTCTGTAAGAACTTGCTACGTTTTCAAGCTTTTTGTAAGTATTGTAATGGCAACATTACGCGAGCTTATTTTGGGTCACTCTGTTGCTCGCTTCCAACTTGTACCTACTTCGTTTGGATTTTTATAGAGGTGCCTTTCGCTTCACTAAACTTGCAACATAGCATAGTTTAGTATTTTCATTTCATTCTACCGAGAAAGCTGGCGGGTGTGCAAAAGTGTTAAAATACTAAACGAAAGTGTTGCAAATTTATGTTAAGCACCTCTTAGTGTTTTTATTTTAGGAGTTAGTTGATGATATAGTAAAGGTAAGTGTTTTAGATATTACAATGTGACATCGTGATAAGTGCTTACTTACTACGACTTTTCATCTTGAAAATTTCCACTCGTGAACTTTTAACTAAAGTTTGTGCGAAGTTTCTTTGTTAACTAGAAACTTTTTCAAAGTTTGTACTGTTGTATGTAAACGGTGAACTTGAATTTGTTATGTGTTTCGTGAAAACTTATTCAGAAAATAGTAAAACTTAGAATTTTCGTCGCCATTTTATTTTTTGTCGCGCTGGAAAAGCGGCCATTTTCTTTGTGCCGCGTCGCTTACGACAAGTCGTATGTGGTCCATAAAGTTAATTTAGTTAAGTTGAGGCGTGATCTCATCGTATGAAGTGAATCGGTGAGATAAATTGCTTTAGTGAGATTGATAATTGTATTCAATGGTTTGTTTGTTTGTTGAGAATAAAGTTTTCGCAATGGCCTAATTACTGCGTGTGGTGTTTAGGATAAGTGTTGAGTAAACAGTTTGACATTGTAGGGTTGCGGGCGCGACGAGTGGTGAGGCGGAATCATGGATGACGATCAGCAGTTTTGTCTGCGGTGGAACAACCACCAGTCTACTCTAGTCTCCGTGTTCGATACACTGTTGGAGAAAGGCATTCACGTGGACTGTACCCTGGCTGCAGAAGGACAGACGCTGAAGGCGCACAAAGTGGTCCTGTCCGCATGCAGTCCCTATTTCGAGGTTGGTATCGTTAAGTGGTTTAGCGCGATGTAGGTCAATTGCTATCGTGTTTAGCTTACTCGCAAGGCACAGTTTTGCTCTAATAAACATTCCATTCGCGCGATAGCTTTCATATGTTAGCAATTAGTTTTATGTTGATGCCAACTCATCTATGCAACAGAAAGTTGTCTCTACTACTTTTTCAAATGCTCAATTACTATATCGAGCGCCAAATTAATGTATTTATCTAAATTCGTTACGCAAATGAAATGTTAATGTAATTTTAATTACATTTACGCATCATTCTAAATTCAAACACTTAATTTCAAAGTTCGAAATATGAAATGACATTGTTACTATTCACTTGCTGTACTATTTACAAATGTGTATTGTTTTTAAAAGTAAACATATAGTGCATGTGAATACAACACTAATGTTTTGTTACAGAATGTACTATCCCAACAGTATGACAAGCATCCAATTATCATTCTAAAAGATGTCAAATATGCCGAGTTGCGAGCCATGATGGATTATATGTACCGCGGTGAAGTAAACATATCACAGGACCAGTTGGCCGCACTGCTGAAAGCGGCAGAGTCCTTACAGATAAAGGGTCTCTCAGACAACAAGCCATCCCGGCCACCGTCGCGCCCCGCACAAGCTGCCCCTGCACACCCGCCTCGTGCGCCCTCTCCACCACCACAGGTAACCCTTACACACTTCTTATTCATTCTAGCTAACCTTATAAGAAAGATAAAGAGGTATTAGATACTGACTACAATATTATATCTTACTAATATTATAAATGCGAAAGTTTAGATGAATGTTAGTAGCGGGTGACAGCTAGTATTTTACAGATCTGACAAGACAGAGTAAAATTACAACAATTTTAATACCAGTTGTACAGAAACAAGGAGGGTATTCAAATATGCAATACCTGTCACATTTACTTTATAGTTGTTTGTAATTTATAAATGGTTATCTAAACATTACTGGTATCTTTCAATTGTTCTTAGAAATTAGTTAATTTTTAGTTGTAAAAATTTATTTGATAATATTCCTAATCTATATGAACCATGAGAAAAGTCTCAGACTTGTAACCATATTGTAACATTCTGTAATTTATAACAGGCCGCATCTGTTCTGGGTAGTCTCTGGAACAGCTGGATTGATTATGATAGGACTTTGACGAGAAGGGGATGCACATGCAAATGTTGTGCTAATTTGTGCTTTTTATTAGTATAAATGTTGCAAAAACACAACAATAATCTCCAAACAATATCATATAGGTAAACATGGTCACAAAGGTTATCATGGTACACAGTAAAGAGTTAAGTTGACATACAAAAATGTTTTTTTTTAATAAGGATTTTAAAGTAACCATTTTAAAAGACATCTTCATATTATTAGGAAGGTACCTCACTTTTAAAATAATAAGTTTCATTTAGATAAACCTACCTACCTATAACTTACACTTATTTTTCAATACTAGTTGTTATTACTAATATTATAAATGTGAATGTTTAGATGGATGGATGTATGTATTATTGTTTGTTAGAAGATATCTCCAGAACAGCTCAACAAATTTCAATTAAATTTCGCCTTTATGAAAGACATAGCCTGAAATAAAACATATTGAGACATTTATTCAATAATTTAGCACATTGCTTTTTATGTTTGAAATAATAATTTACATATCAATTTTATTAGGACTAAGATATACAGAGACTTATTGCCAGACGCCAAAGCCCAGATCGGATAGATGCGCTGCTCTGATTAGTTTTACAATATATTAGTATACCTTTAAACAATTGTTTTTTTTTTTAATTTATTATACTGTTTTTAAGAAACCTAATGGACATAGCTTACCTGTCATTGTCTTATAAAACACCATTATGTTAGTTATTTTGCGAAAATATCTGTGGACTTCAGAATGTGTGTTTATATAGAAATTGTTGATTACAACTGCTCCCTTATTTGCCATTAAGAGGAAAAACATAATGAATATTGGAGAATTTTACATAAACCCTAATTGCCTTACATAAAAGATACGAACAACAACTCAAGTAAGTCATCACAATTTTTGAACGGCTGCAAGAGGAACTGCCACTCATGGAATTAACATACATACAAACCATACATTTTGATGGAAAGCATAATCCTCCAGACCCAATTGGATAATAACTAAAAGTTGTTATAATAAATATTGTGTTTGACTTGTAGATATGTTCACATTACATTGTATAACAGAATACCAAGGCTGCAATGTCCGTTGTCATGCAGATTATATTCTAGATGCTCAGGTTACAATGTAAAAGATGTATTGTTCTTTTTGCTGACATCACATATTCATTCAGTTTTAAATTTATTTTATTTCAAGTTGCAATGGAAAATTTTATAATTAAATATTATATTCATTTTATTTTACGTTACAATTGTATAAAATTTATTCAACTTGCTTTAAGTTTTTGACAATTAAACTAACATCATGTAATGTTAGTTATATGGCTGAATTAATGAGAATAATATTTGAACGTAATCTTAGACGTGATTTCCTCACCGCGGACTTAAGAAACAAAATGTATGTAGTCTGTACGTTCTTTCAGACTTAGCTCAAGATCTGTGCCAAAACACAATGTGTGTCACCACTTACCAACAGAATTCAAATGTATCTCAATTTTTTCTATATTTCTTGGAATCCTGACCATTTTTACTATGGCATTTGCCATAGGCATGGGGTATTCAACAATACACACACAATACAAAGTACAGGGGAAGGTTTGTCATCATTGGGGCCTCCAGTAAGTGTGCCCGGGGACAGCTTAGGTCCCCCCCCTTCATCCTGGAGAACAAAATATAAATTACATCGTTATAGTTTATCGATTGGCGAGACGTGTGGTCATCATTCAGAATTTTATCTGGCAACAGGACTATTATTGGGTGTAATAAGCGACGAATAGAATTAGGGGCCGGAAAGGGTTGACATTTCAGCGGATCGGAAGTGTCTGTTCGACAAGATACTTTTGTTTACATTAACTCGCACTACCTTCTGCAACATTATAATTTTCGAATATATAAATAATTTAAAATTGGATGAATTATTTTTTATACATCGAATCGAATAACGCTGATCGATAAATAAACAATTCGTTGTTTTGAATGGTACCGATAAAAAAAATCTCAATAAGAATAGTTATTGCATTGTGTTTACATTATTCATCTGTCGTTGTGTTTATTCTGACCCCTGTTTGATTACTGGACCTTCCGATTGCTTTTCGTTTGACCTTGGCACGTATACTGGACTCTGGACTGTGATTTACAATTATGGAGATTGGACGCCGATGTGTTGTGTAGAACATCTGTTTTGCAAAAGATGCGATACGTTTTGCAAAATACTTAGCTTTAAAATGATCCGCAGTTAGTTGTTTGATTTTATTTTTTCCTTTAGGTTTGTGATTTGCGAGGACTGTTATTTGATTAAAATTAGCATTGAACAACAAAAATAAAAACTTTATACAAAAAATTGGTTTCTATTTTTTTATGACCCCATTATTTTTCGCTTGGAAAATGGTTATGTCTTTTCATCATGGATCTTCATATGAGTATTAAAACCAATCCTACGTCTGTTTGTGGGGGAGAGGGGACACAGCGCTTACAGACTTGCATTGTTATTTTATCTGGATCCCTTAAATTGTATTTAGAAACGCAATAACAAACACCCATCCATTGAACCAAAGTTTCGCACTTATAATATTTGTAAGAAGTATGTCACTATCAGCTGATTATTAGCTGTCAGCGAGGGGCTTATGCGGAACGTACCATAAGTTCAGTGGCGGTGTGGTGTTGCAGGGGCGGTCGAGCAGCTCGGAGCGGCGCGGGGGCTCGCTGTCGCCCAGCAGGCGGCGCAAGGTGGCGCGCCGCTCGCTGGACGCGGAGCCTACCAGCGAGCCGCCGCCCTCGGATGACGCGCCGCCCTCCAGAGACACCGTCGAGGACCTCACCATTGACGAGGACCACGACCAGACCCCGCAACACAACGACGTCGTGCGCAGTCAGTATATATTTATATCTCACTAACCCGCTACTGTCTTAGCGACGATACTTTGAGTTAACTTGTTTGAAGAAGAATCTGTCTTTTAACCAGAATATTCCATTATAAAAAAAATTATATTATTGCCTGGAGCCTTTGTACAAATTTATTTAAAAACCATCACAAGTAGTAGTGATTGGTGATGTTGCAGGAGGGCACTAACTCATCATGTAAATATTGAAAATATTTAAATATTACTTCTGAAGAAACATGTGCTTCCCCCAACTAGAGCTAGCTATACATAAATATTAGAATGAACAACAATGTCATATGCATGTTTGACACAGTCAGCTGATCCAATCTAGGCTAGCAATTAATTCCCACACCAGCTTTAGAATCCATATAATAGGTAATAATAGGTTTCATTGCTTCTATTAGATTACTATCGGAGTAAGAATTGAATTGTAATATGTTTGTCCCATCTACATGTCTTTCTAAATGTAGTTATCATTTTGTAAGTATAAATTCAACATAGCTTATATATTATAATATATTGTGCTTGTGAATATTGTTTTATGCTTAGAATGTAAGTTAATGGCAAATATAACCTTTCCTATCTTTACATAAGTCTACGGAGATAAAACGCAATATAAAGACTAAAACAATATCCAATGTATAACGATAACTGAGTGTAGAAATAGTGGTTACAATAACATTTTGTTTTGTTTGCAGATTTCCAATGGCACATGGAACGATCTCAAGATGAACTGATGAACTCTAACGACAGCATCCGGGAGTCGCAAGGTAAGTGCGCGCCACGCCCCCTGTCCCCG